AGTTGTTGAGTGCAAACCTGTATACTCAATTGTAAAAATTTAAGTATAAATAATAATCCTATATTTCAAAAATACTTCACTGAAAAATGTTTTAAAAAATAATATTTTGTCAGCTTAAAACTTTTTTAGTGTAATTTGCAAAGAAAATGGAAAAAAAGTTCAAACTCGCATTTCTACAGAACTCCGCGGGGACATGCCTATAAACAATGCACTTATCACTTTAAGATTTTTTTTTTCAATTTTTCAGCCCATTCCAAGAAACAGGTTTATAGTTATTAAGAAAATGTCATTTCGTTGCAATATAATTATCAATGTTTTGTTTCTAACATATTTTCTTTCTCTTACACAGATTTTGTTAGGTACAACCTACAATTGCACCCTTTTATCTCATTGCATGTTATATAAAAAACCACTAATGAATCTCTGCTTTCCAAGTAGCTACAGGCAAAATTTAAATACCATTGAATAGAGTAGATTATAAACTGTTTATGATAATCTAGACTAATTAAATGATGTCAAAATTAATAATTTATGGTTTTATGAGAAAATGACAAGACCTAGCTTTGGCAGAGAAAAACAAAGGAATGTAGTGGGAAGTTTAAAATATGTAGGAACAAACCATAAATTATGAATATTTTTATAGTTTTATTAGGCATTGTTTTCATTCCTGAAAATGCTTTTATATTAATTCTTATTTAGACAGTATGTTAGAAGTGGCAAAATATTCTGGTGACTGAAGTCCCTATTGGTTGAATATTACTTTATAAGGTAATTGTATTCAAACAATGCTTGTAAATAAATTATAATTTATTGGAAAATGAAATATGTATTTTATATATATGTATATGAAATGACTTTGACCAAGAATATTGTTAGCAAAAAATTGTTACCTATCCTGACCTGATGCCATTATAAAAGTTTGGTCATAATTCAATAATAAATCTTTGTCCTTTTTTACTATTTATAATCAGAAATGGTGACTGCTTCAATCAATAAAATAAAGTATCAAAGAAAACCTATTTACAAGATTCAAACAAGTAGTAACTGACTGGATATATATAATGTATAATGGAACTTCTGATCAACAGTTAAGAAAATTTAAATCGTAAGATGAAAGGAAGTATTTTTCATGTCTTTTTAAATAGTCTTACAAAAAAATTTGCAGATCTCACAACATTGTAGAAAAACTAAATTAAGTTTCTGAGACAGTACGTCACCTCTTCACACAAATAGGTTCATTCCTTGTGCGACTGCTTATTAGATTTGCATGTCACTAGCCTTAAGCTAACTCCCACCTAAAAAGTTACCTTTTTAACATGAACTTTGCTAGTACAGAATGACATTATTACTTGATGAGAGCCCTCCATCAATAGGAGGGTGACACAGTAATTCCTCTTAAGCATTTGTGGTTGAAATTTCTTCATTCTTATCCTTGGCATTGTCTTGAATGGACGTGTTGTTTGTTTTACAATAAGTAAATTCCATGAGATTTGCACTACTTTATGAAACTTAAATTTTGTTCTGGTTTAGCTATTTCTTTGATTACCAAAGTATCAAAAAACAACAATAACTTCAATGAATTCCTGTTCTTCCCATCCTCACTCTTATTAATGTCAGGGGTGCTGCTTGTCTCATGGGTGACTCTTTTGTTAGGTTTAGCCCAGTGGGTGCCCATCTGTCTCGCTTTGTGAGCCTTTGGTCTCCATTTTTTGGCTGACCGAAGGATTCTTCTGGTTTTCACCCACTACCTATCTCTTCTTCCTTCCCTTTTCCTGTTTTTTTACTCCTCCTTAGATGTTTGTGATGTAAAAATATAAAGTCTATAGATTCATACAAATTAGGTACTTAATTTACCGATATTGACAAGCTAGAATATAAAATAAGAACCTCATATCTTTTCTATTTGCTAAGATATCGCTCATGTACTGAATCAAACGCAGTGGCCCCACTCACCTCCTTCCATTTTTGAAAATGGTCCATTAAATACACTTACTTTAATATGTGATGTGAGTAACCAATCGAAAGCTCAGGATATCCCCCTAGTGGCTTTCTCACAGTCATTTTAAAGTGTTAGGATGTTATCTCATTCTTTCAAACCAAGATTTCAAGGAGGTTGGTTGTGTCTTTAGTCTTTTCGAAATTTCGTATTATTTTAGACCGAAATACACTTAGCTACTAAGTTTGATAAATTATAGTGGAATTCTATGGTATCAGTATAGTAATTTATGATTTTTTGGTTATTCAACTGTACATACAAAACCTAAAAAAAAATATTTCATTTCATATCCTCCATGTGCGAAATTTTAAAAGTTACAAAGATCATAACTAGAAGAGATAATTCTTTGCTTTACTTCTTTATTTATTGTTCTTTGTTTTAAGAAAAATAAGTTTAAGAACTTGTTTCTAAACTGTAATAACTTATATACACATATAATGTATAACAATTGAAATGTGACTGTATTTTACAAAATACTAGACCACTAAAACACAGCCAACACAGGTCACTTTGTAAAGACTAATGGTCAGTTTTATATTATTGAATATGGTAACATGAGAGCACATGTGCTGCATCATTGTAACTTCTGTATTGTTAGCCAGGCACAGCTGAAAGGTAAATATAATAAAAATAATAGACATATATACACCTGGAAAAAAGTTAAGCACCCCCAAATATTTTTCAGGATTGCTTATTGAAAATAAGGTTTAATTTTCATGATGTTGAGCAATGTTCATAATTTCAAACATAATTAAAAGGATGTGAGCGTTCAGATGTGACATTTAAATCAGGCGCGTTTTTTTCCCTACCGTGCAACTTGTCTCCCTTCTTCTACGTCCAATAATGCACTATTTTCTTGTGCATCAAAT